GCCAAAGGGCAATTACCTATTCTGTATGCATTGCCTTAATCATGTCGTGTCCCATAAATTTGCATGTCTCCCAAGGAAGCACAGTGCATTGCCAGCAGCCTGATAGGACAGATCAAAACAATTTCCTGGTGTGTGTTTACATCAGCTTTTGGCTTCTGAGCTGCTTTAGCTGTAGTTGCTCTGCAAAACAGCACAAATTCTCTCTCTCTCTCTGAACTGAGCTGCATCAGGGATAGAGGGGGGAGTAAGCAGAATCTGGATGCATCATCCTTACCAGAACTGAGCAATGCTTTCTAGATTAATGAACTGCAAATCAGCTGCACAAATGAAACCACATGCTAGAGATAAACACAGTCCTCTGAGATGGGCTTGTTGTCACAGTCAGAGAAGGAGAGAGAGCACACACACACACACACACACACACACCCACACACACACACACACACACACGCGTGTGACGAGGGACGTAATGAATGCCAGCTTCCCTCCCGCCTCTCTGGGATATGTGAGGATGACAAACTCTCTGAGGAACAATTCCTTTGACTGGTTCGTTGAGGAAAGGAAACTTGTCATGCTGCCAAGAATAAAACTGCTCCTGGGCTTAGTTTTGAATTTTATAAAGTGAATAAGTGAAAAATGTATACACATTCACTTCAGACCCAAGTCATGAATAATTGAAAGAATATATAATTGTACCCAGTTTTCCCCTCAAGCTCAGCCAGCAAAGATATCTTCTGTCCGTGTAACAGGGTACTTCATGTGTTTTGTGTTTTTTTCCAGGAGCTGTTGGAAGCAAGCTGAACTGAATGCATCCGGCATGCAGGTAGAAATAACAGCCTACCATTGGAGCACACAGAAACGCAAATGGAGAGCTCAACTCTTTCATATCAAGGAAGAGGCAGATTTTTTGATTATGCATAAATATATGCTTGGTAGGATTCATCCACAATTGATACTGGATTTAGACCACAATATGATAAAAATTATAATATTAACACAGCATTATTGTAGACATTAATAGTGAAAATGACAAAGATCAGACATTTTTTATTAGGCACAGGAAGGTGAAAAATACCTGTAAAAAATAAATATGCAGAAAATAACCTCAGAAAACAAAAGTTATCTATATCTAACTATTTCCCTTTTCTGAGACAGGCACACTTGCCAGTACAAATTTAGGAATGTTGAGTTAAAGGTATAACACATTCGTCTGCAATTCTACTGCTGTACTGGAATTATCTAGCGGTACATACCTGGAGGGAGATGCAAGAGATCTATTGCTTTTATTTTTTTGCATTATTCTCACAATTAATAGATCCCTCAGTTTTCAGCCAAAATGAAATTCAGGATTAATATTCACTTTTCTTGAGGACATAGAAGTTAGCAAATATGGTATGAATAGCCATGTATTTAGTACCTTTCATTTGCAATACAGCCATCTTATTTTAAGACTAATGAAAAACATTAACAAATTCTACAAAATAATCATTATACATCCCCTCCCTTCCAAACAGACAGGAAGTTCCTCATGGGTAGCAAGCTGGCTCTTGCTTCCTCTCATACCAGCATGGCTGTTTGTAGACAACACACTGTGATGCTCTCTGATAGAGAAAAAGATATAAAACCCCCTGAAAATCATACACAGAGAGGATCAATAGATTGTATGTAGGGAACAGCTATGTCCTTGAAACGGCAAATGTGTGGGATTTTGTTTGACTCTTAGAAGGTTGCACATTCTCTGTTTTGGTACCTCGGTAGCTGAATTCCAAACACAAGTTCTTCACGTAGACCTGACTTAGAACTTGGCTTCTTCTCAACAACCATGCATTTGTTCAGAGACAAATTGCCAAAAAAAGGCAAAACACCAGAGGGGTGTGTTAGGGGATGTGAAGTGAAAGTCTGCTTAAGAACTAATCCACTACAGCATCGTGAGCTGTATCTGAAGTAGCTCAGGAAGCTTGGGAGGAAAGAACACAGGGACACAGACTGCGTGAGGGTCACTTTTGGATCAATAATTTACTTCATGATATGCAAAGACTGTGGGACAACTGAGTGCAACACAATGGCTTTAAAGAGGAGATGATAGAAATATCAGAAGTGAAGCAGAATATTATACACTACCTACCTCTTATCCACGTATCTGAAAGCTGCTACTCTGTAACATGTTGATCTTGTCATTTTATATCACTGTTGTCTAAGGCAGGAGCCAGATTATTTTCATGGACTACAAAAGCAAGGTAAACTACAACCCAAAAACCTTACCATCAAAAAAGGGCAAAATAAAGCTGCAAAGAAAGAAACCACACAAAAGTATCTGGATTCCCTGTATAGGGAAAATGGCAAGGAGGAATTCTGCACAAATGCAGTCTACACATCCACCCCCACTGAGACAGACTTTCAAATTAATGTTTTCAAGTTCCAGCATTTCCGAGCTGTTGCTTGAACCGCTTGAAAGGGAAGCACTTCCCGTCTAGTTGATGGGGTTCTTTTTAGATTACTAGAAAATATTTTTCTAATATGTAAAACGTGGAAGGACTATAAAAAAGGGGAATGTTTTGTATTCTGCTAATTTTGATGACAAATTTCTATTTAAAGATTAATTGTCAATTATGTCAGACCCTGAAACTGTGTAACAGTTGATTTTCCCCATGCACAGGACAAAACGCATACAACAGAGCATTATTCCTTCAAGCCTGTTCTCTTTGGTAATGCTTTCGTGTCAGAAACTGCTTATATCTGCAATTATCTGATGTTTAAAAATAGAATTATTCAACAATCCCTAGCAGTCGGCTCTGACCTCTTGTTTGCTTGTTTTCTTGGTTCAATTTGAACACTTGATGAATTTCCAGCTATCTTGTGCCACCTCGTGTAAGAGATGGGAAATTACACAACTTTCTGACCACTGAGACCAGAGTTTGGCATTGCAGATGGTATTTGTACATTTTGAATATGCTTTTCAGTTTATTAGCACCTGAAGTACATTTTAAAATGTATTAAAATCATTCAATATGACAATTAATTTTCTTAAAACGTTATTTCTTTATACTTAAGCTAGCTCTTCCTTTACACTTGTAACTTTTATATGACAATGTAATGTCATATACATATGGGTAATGTTTGCCCTCAGGCCATCTGCTGTGCATGATACTAGTTCTTTATGAATATATTTTCGATATTCTAATTATTATACCTTCATAATTGTGGGTTTTTTACCTGTTATTTATATTTTTTTTTCTTGGCTGATTGGTGGTGCTTGCTTTTTCTTTACTGGTATCTCTCTTTTTCATGTTTTCCTCCATGAATTTTTTGCACCCTTATATATACCCCGTTTTAATTCCTTACGCACCTCTGCATATTAGTCACATTCATTCGAAGTTCATTTAGTACCCTATAATGAAACAAACTTGGCTGCTATTGTTGTGTCTATCCAGCAATAGATCAGCTGTGATCAAGTCAGTAGCTGACTATATTACATTAGTGGCAAGTTCTGAACCTTAGCCAAAAATTTAATTCTAGTTCTAAAATAGGACCATTACCATTCAGCACATGAAAGAGATAAAAAAAAATTTAGATTTATGTACCTTCCCATGATTTTCCTGCGATGAAGGTCGGCCTTTTGGGTACTATATTTATACAGGTGAAGTTGTAGCTGCAAATGATGTGGCGATTCTGAGGTTTTCCTCGGTACCTGTGCTACCGCTGTGTTAATGCTGACATTTTCTGTGCTCATTTCCCTCACGCAGGAGGTTTCCCTCGTGCTTTTGACACTCATCTTACACCTTCTTGGGCTCCTGAAGCATCAGGCACGGCACTCCAGCCCCGCACACACAACTCAGCAAGTGGATTTGACATTTTCCGTCCCGCGGGGGCCGACCCAAGGCTCGACCTCTCGAGTCAGTCAAGGGCAGGAGCAGTGGGAGAGGGAGGTACCGAGGTCAGGGACAACACCTAATTAGCTAATTAGCGTGAATCACCTCCAGCCGAGGGCTGCCCGGTGCATGGCCCGTCACCGCCGCGCTCCCGGGCGGAGGCAGCGGCCCTCGGCCCGGCGCCGTCCCTCAGCCACAGCAGGGGCGGCCGAGAGCATTTGGCCGGTTCAGCCCGGAGGAGCCTGGCCGGGGAACTCGCTTGTGGGCTGCAGCTTGCTCCCAGGGGTAGCGCAGGGACAGGCACCGATCTCTGCTCTGCGGCCAGGGATAGGGCCCGAGGGAACAGCTGGAGCTGGGACTGGGGCAGGGCACAACTGGGTATGAGGAAAAGGCTTTTCACTGATGAGAGTGGTCGCGCATTGAACAGGCTCCCCAGGGCAGTGGTCGCAGCACCAACGCTGATACTTGCAGGACCGTTCGGGCACGCGGTGCGACTGTGACGGTGTCCGTGCGCAGCCAAGTGCCGCTCTCGTCGCCCTTCTGCCCCCGCCCTCACGGCGGCTGCTCCGCCCCGCCCCGCTCCCGCCCTCACGGCGGCTGTTCACGCATGCGCGCGAGTGGCCGGGGCCCGTGCGGCCAGGGCTGTCACGTGACGCGGGCGGCGGATGCGGTTCCGGGTGAGCGCGGGCGCGCAGCGCAGCGCAGCGCGGCCCCGAGCGCGGCAACGCTCCCGCCAGGTACGGCCGCGGAGGGGCGGCAGCGCCGGGCCGGGAGCCACGAGCCGCGGCCGGGCCGCGCGGGGCGGGCGCGGAGGGAGGCGGCGTCGAGGCCCGGCCGCGGGTGCGCGCCGGACGGCGGATTCCGCGCTGTGGCCTGGCCGGGGCGGCGGTGGCGGCGAGCAGGGACCCCGCGGCCGGGCGGCTCCTCGGCCGCGCCCCCGGCTCCCCCGCACCGCTGCCGCCGCAGGGGGAAGAGCTCTGAACGCGTAAATCTCCGAGGGGAAAATGCCCTGCCCTGCCCTGCCCTGCCCCGCGGGGTTTCGCAGGGAGCAGCTCCGCGCAGCAGCGAGCCGTGTCGCGGAAGTATCGCGAGTTGCCTTTTGTCTTAGGTCCTCCTGATTTCCTGCTACTAACTCAATACTCTAAATAGTAGTTGATTGGTTCTGCTTGATTTGTATGCATATTTAAGTATTACAAAGGAATATCTGGGCCGGATACAAATTCTTTGGGATTGTTTTGAGAAGTTAGTGTTTACCTTTAAACAAATTTTGAGTGGCGCAGAAATACAGACCCTTCTGTTGCGCTGGATGTGGAGTTTAAAGTAGTGTCCTCGGGAGGGAAGCAAGAGTTTTCAGAAGTTTTCTTTTTTAGCTGTCTGATTTCTCTGTGCTTTGATGCTGAGAGAAGGGAGTAAAAGGAGACAATTGATCTGCTATTAACTATAGTGCTTGCATAGTCTCATTTTGCAAACATGCAAATGGTAAAGTCTGGAGGTCCATCCTCAGGTTTGGGAAATTTGTCCTGGATTTATGGCTAATCTGGCCACGTTCTAAAAACCATTGGAATTATAGAAACATTTAGAAATTCCAGTGAGCTGCATCCTGTGGGTTTGTGTACCAGAAGATGTGTCTGTTCCTTGCTTTAGGGTTGCTATAAAATCAAATGTGAAAATTACTCTTAAAAACACCTCTTTAGTGCCTGGTAGCTGGAATTGACATTCAGTTAATGTTTCGTTTGACACAGGGAAGGTGAAATGGGGGGGGGAAATGTAGGCTAACCTTGTTTTGAAGTTGATTTTGACTTTTTGAGATGCTAACAGCTTTCTGTTCTTTGCAAATCAAGTACATTGTTCAGTAAAAATGTTTGACATTGCAGTTGTCTTGCAAAGTTAAACTTGGTATTTATTCTATTTCAGATGAAGGGGTACTGGACAAGGACTGAAAATAAGTCTTTGTCTTGGATAGGCAGATACAACCATGGAAATGTCTGGCTTGTAATTATACGTGTGTTTGCCTGAGAACTCAGAGGTGAAAACCTAAATAGTAATTTTTGCAAGCAACCTTTAACTTAATGAATAAAATTATCTTATGCTTTCTGTTGTCCTTCTGTCCCACCCCTGCTGCCAACTCCCCTTTTTAGGCATATGGAACTGACCTGAGTCTCTGTTTAGCTGTATTGTAAATTTTTATAACTGGCAATTTTTAACAGGCTTCTTAACACTGTTGTACTTGATATTCCAGAACCTACCAGCTAAGGCAGCTTTGTATTAATGGGAGAACTCTGAAAATTATCTATTCTTCTAGGAAAAAAGGATGGAAATACTGATGTTTGACCTCTGGTGCAAGCAGTGATATTCTTCAGATGCAAACTTAAGTAGGTTTAACCTGCTGTTCTGAAATGGAAATTTGTTCATTAGCCATAGTGAAAGAACAGTGGATTTGAGTGATGTGTTCTCTTCTGTAATACCATATCTTGCCTGTTGAGATATTTAAAAATATAAAAGTAGTTGTAGAGTACTAAATTACTAATGCAAATTATTGCTTTCTTAGTGAGAAGGTGCTGAGAATTCTGCAAGTGGTGTGAGGAGTGTTCCATAAAAGCACCTTAAGCTTAGATAACAGCAGAGTTGTTTTTAAACTCTTGTCTAAGTACAGCAGGTTTATCCCAGTGTGATGAAGTAAGTGCAGGTGGAAATGCTTCTTCACTGAAAGGCTGTCCATTTGAAATGAATAGGTGTTACTTGGTGTTTGGTATTCTTCAAAAGTGTGGGAAGAAAACTGTTCAAGTCTTGGAGCAAACCCCTGCTCTAAACTGTCTGAGAACTGTATAGGGAATGCAGTGCAGGTGAGCTGAAGAGGAGCATCTTAAAGCCACAGCACAGTGACAGCTTTGGGGGGTGATATTTGGGTGTTTTGACTGCCAATTTTGTCCTTTAGAAGTGAAGTCATGAGTTAAGATTTTCCTCCGGGTTTATAGTCACCTGCATATTTGCATCAGTTTGTTCCATGCTGCTGGTAACCACTGCCTTCTCCTGACTGCTGAGGGCCCCTGGGGAAACTCCCTGGGCTTCATCTAAGTGTCCTGAAACAGATGCATATCGAGCTCTGCACACATTCACTGTTACCACTGATCCAAATGGGATCTGCCCTCCCAGCAAATATTTCAAACCCACTGTTTCAGCCAGTAGGCTGGTGCCCAGGAGTGTCCATACCTTGTATGCTGAGAGTATCATCAGCTTGGTGAGAGGCAGGACTTGTTTCCAAGCAGTGCTTTAGTCAGGACAAACAGGGAGAGCTGGGAGAGCACTTGCTGGGGCAACTTCTTCACACTGCTGAAGAGCAGCTGAGAGGTGCAGGTGCTGAATGCCTCAAACAAGGAGAGTCTGGGCCTTAAGAGGAACTAGGTTGCTACCTTCTAGAAATTTTATTTCCATTTTCTGGGTGAGGGAAGCAGGGAAATGTCAGTAAAATAGGCTTAAATTGAGATCATTAGTGTTTAATTTGTAGAACTGCAGTTTTACAAAAATATTACTTAATTTTGCTTTATTAATCAGCTTGCATAGCTTTAAGCATTGCAAGACATTTAGTTCAGAAGAAAAATTTGGATTTGTCATGAAAGGAAAGCTGATCCTACAGAACAGTAAGTGTAATTTGGGTTTCAGCCATGTAAAAGAAATTATATCTCTCAGTTAATAAGCAGAATTGGTTGCATTCAAACTTTGTACTTACTGGTGTTCTGTGCTGATTTCTTCTTTGCAAAATACCATGGTTTCTTGCCTTGATGAATGTTGGTTTTCTTAACACCTTCACTGATAAGTTTACCTGTTTTTGCCAATCTTTAGAGCCAACACAGCCAAGAGCTTCAATTGGTTTGGACTTTTATGTCAACAGAATGGTTTACCATGTTCTGTTACTGAGGATTCCTTGTTGCTGGTGATGGGTGAGCCTGAAAAAATACAGCTTTACTTGCACATCATAGGGTGAGTTCTCCAAAAACACTGTCTTAAAAAGTTATCTTTTAAAGTGTTTGGGTTGTTTGGGTTTTTTTCTTTTTAAATAGCTTGTAGTTTAGATCTGAACATCTAGACTTTTTCTCAAAATACACACTTATTAATTACCACCTATAGAATCTAGAGACAGGTTTCTTACATTTTGAAGTGAACTGGTGTAACATAAATGATAGATTAGGTTGCTGAAGGAATTAATTTTAACTGAGGGGTTGATCCTTCTTGTCTGCATGAAATCCCTTCCAGCCTAAATTATTTTATGATAAACCATTCCACAAGCAGTCTTGTTTGGTTTTTATTCTGCATAATACCTCAATTTGATAAGTTAAAGGATGTGTTGCGAGTATGGGAATTACCAGAGTATTGAACTAACACCTTCTGTTATGTTCCTGCAGCTCCTTTTTAGCCCATTGTGCTGAAGACCAGAGGTTCTGCCTCATCAGGAGTCTCTGTTAGCAATTCAAGTTGGCTGGAGAATGGAAGGGGTTGAGTTTAAGGAAGAGTGGCAAGATGAAGATTTTCCAAGGTTTTGAATTCTTTTCTAAAGTAATTTGGATGAAACATATAACATCAGCAATAAGCTACCTCTTTGTCTTCCTGGTGAACTAATACTCAGTAATAATCCTGGAGTGATTTCCATTAATTTAGCAGTTTTGAAAAGGTTTTGTGGCAGATTTCTTCAGGATTGGCACTGTTGAAGTTTCCACTGTTTCTGAAATGAAGATTTGTAAGCTTGGCTTTGTTTATTTCCTTAGGTAATACTTTGCAACTAGATTGTTTGCATATTATTTCCAATGCCTCATGGCCCAAACAATTACTTAAGCAAAATTTTTGAGGAAAGTTTTTCAAAGTTAATGCTTCTACTGATGCTTGAGCCTACAAAAAAACTAAACCAGCTTTAGATGCATTTGTGATAACATGACTAAACTTCTGTAATTTATGTCAAGTCAAATTTTGTCATGCAAGAACATGACAAGCTTTGTTAAGGATGACACACTGGTAGTAGTCAGTGTTTTGGTATTTGTCACAGGAGGGATAGTCACTTGAATGCTGCAAAGAATTTTCTGCTGCCTTGGTTTCAAACTGAAAGTTTGAACTTAGGCTGTAATATATATGTAGGTTTTGTAGTAGGATATAAGTCTAAATATATGGTATTAAAAAAAAAGCGAAAGCAGGTTTGTAACAATAATTTCTGCTTTGTGTCCCAGGCCCCTGCCAGAGGATGATCCTGTTGAGTCTGATGCATTGGCTGCAGCTGGAACAGAAAGTGAAGCCGGTAAGAAAATTCCACTCCAGTCCAGCTGCTTCCTACTTAAATGGCTGCTTTAAAGCTCTGTGTTGTAGGGAGATTTTTTTTTTTGCTTGTTTTGGGTGGGGTTTTTTTTTGTTTTGTTTTGATAGTTGGGGTTTTGGAGGTTTTTACATTTAACATTTTTTTGGATTTTGTCTGTCTGCTTTACCTGGGGCATTTCCAGTGCTGGATTGGTAATCTGATTTTATTCATTGCTTTCAACTCCTGTCTAAATCACGCCAGAATTTGCCTTGTACCTCAAAGCATTTTGTGTATTCACAGAACAGATTGTTTAATTTTCCATCCTTGCTGTTGTCAGTAGTTTTTTTTTTTTCAGCTTATATATTATTTTCTATTTTATCAAAGATGGTTATGATGTCACTGAAGCCTAACAATAGTAATTGCTAGGGACATGAATCTGTTGCATTATATACAAGGTTTATTCAATGTCCTGGGACACTTGGATGCTGCAAGCAGTATGGTTGGTGTCTGCACCCTGCTCAGATTGTGCATGTGCAAGTGGGTAACTTGAGAACTTTCACCTGCTGTTCTTTCCAGCCCCTGTTAAAGTCTTACTCCAAAGATACCTTCTTTAAATTATAGGCATTAATTTATAATGCATTATGAAAAAGGACTGTGCTCTTCTGTCTTGGTAATATGCTTATCTAAACTTGCTTTAGCTTTGAAAATAAATAATTTCCTTTCTTTAGATACAGAGGGTAATGGAACCAAATTGAGGAAGAAACTAATGGCTCAAGATATTAGCTTAACTTTGGATCCCAGTGGGGAATCTGTTTTTTCTGATGACTTGGATGAGAGTGGAGAGATTGATTTGGATGATTTAGATACTCCTTCAGAAAACAGCAATGAATTTGAATGGGAAGGTGAGTAATTTGGTCCTTTTGTCTGATGCTCTAAAATATTTTTTTATGTGCAGGTTGACTGTTTCTCTCATAAGAAATAGCTATGACTCAATAGTACAGGAGGAGAAATACAAAGGGAGTGATTGGATGAGGAATTAGAAATAGGTGAAGTGACTTTTTAAAGAGCAAATCAGACCTCATCTGATTAGTATATAGGCAAACAATTAATAGCTGTAGTTGCAGATAAACTTAGGGGAAGATCATCTACATATACATCTGTAAGATTTGAAGCTGTGGAAAATCCTCTATTGCAGTAAGTTTTCAAGAACCGCCCAACAGAAAGAAGTAGCCAAGGTGTTTTACATGTGTGTTAGAAAAGAGTTTTAAATAGAGAGAGCCAAACAAAGGGATTTAGATTAGCTACTCAGAAATTGATAAATTGTAATTTAAGGAGGACTGAATAGTGTTTTTAAAAATACTGAGTAACACCTGGTCTCAAATCTTCCTGTGGTGAGAATGGCAAAAGCTCAGTAGCCTTAGAGTATGCATATTTCCAGATTGACTAGAGGCAGCAGAAGAGCCTCTATTTTATGTCAAGGAATTCTGAAATGACTTCATAGGAAGTTAAAGTAATGCATTAGCCACACTAGTAATGATCTCTGTTTTAAGACATTAATAAGTGTTATATCTTACAGGCAAAACCTGGAGATTCTGACAGATCTTATTTGAGATAAACATTTTGTGTAGGACTTAAAGCACAAATTTTAGACTTGGAGTTTAATCATGTCTTAAGGCCCTCTTATGGAAGCAAGAACAGTTGTGCTGGGTAAATTGTTGGGGTCTTTAACATCTGTGAACTTGATGGTTTAGGAATGTCTCTAATAAGTAAACATGTAAAGTCAATTACTGTTTTCTCATCCTGAAAATAAAATAATTTTAATTCCAGAATAAACAGGAAGTTCTCTTTTCACTGTTATGTTTGAAATGCTGTGGAGAAGGAAACACTCTATAGAATAAGGGGGTTTTGGTTTTTAAATAGCTAAAAGCATATTGCAGCGGATATTTTCTTAACAGAGACTACATGTTTAACTTTGTAAAAGGATTTTCATTGTTTTAACGAAGAAAAACTGGTATTTAGGGTTAGTTTTGCAGTGATGCGAAGGAAATGTTCCAGATGTTTGTGTCTTGTTTTTAAAAGTGGCTGAAAAGGGTTTCTGTCTTTTCTTCCTTTAATGCTGCTGCCTTCACTTTCCTGGAAGGATAGTTTCAATTAACAGCTTTGTCTTGGGAACAGACAACTAACTTGCAGTAGGTTTTTCTCGCTTTGGGTAAGGTCCATGCAACAAAGTCAAGAATCATTATTTATTGGAGCAAATTGTCTTACAGATTGCTGTCAGCACAAATTTCATACATTGTGATTGCACACGTGAATTACATTTAATTTTCAGTAGATTTGCCTGCATGTCTGCTTGCAAGGTACCTCAATGTTTTGAATCATGCTTCATGTAAATCTGTGATTAATCTCTTTAATTCTCATTAGAGTTAACCACTTTGTCTATTTTGGTGAAATTCACTGAGGTCTGTGTTCTGAAAGCCTACAATTAATTAGGCTTCCTCCATGAACGGAGATTTTTCACATATTTGTAATAGAGAAAATGACAGTCAACAGATAACTGTCAACATGAATATGTTAAGAAAATATCTATGACATCAGCCTTTGTGTTTGACTGGCTGAAGATTACCAAAATAGATTAGATAGCAAAGTGGTTAACTTGTATTGTAGCTGACTGTCACTATTCATGGTATTCATAATGGGTCTTCAACATGTTCTCATTTTCACAGATGATCTTCCAAAACCAAAAACTACTGATGTCATTAGGAAAGGATCACTGGCTGAGTATGCTGTGGCAGAGGAGAAGGATGATGGTCGGCGCTGGAGAATGTTTAGGATTGGGGAACAGGACCACAGGGTGGACATGAAGGCAATTGAACCATACAAAAAAGTTATCAGTCATGGTGGTAAGGATTGGTGATGTGCTCAGGGGAACTGCTGAGCAACTACTTCTTTAAGCTGAGTTGGGGAGGCAGAGGAAGAGCTTTGGGCATAAAGACTTGCGGTAATTAATTTGTTGCAGTGTTAAGACATGGATGATATAATATTTTTTTTCTCTATTAAACTAAAGTTCCAAAATGTACACATGGTCACATGTACTAAAATGCATCTATGGAATAAGATATATTTACTTCATCCTACAGTGTCACTGCTACCTAGTTTTTTGGCTTCTAGACTATTGAAAACATTAACTGTGGATCTACCAAGGCAGAAATCAATTCATGACTCTATCCAACAGTCTGTGAAGTTTAGGTTGGAAGAAAAGTTGACTAAACTTCAATAACATAAGATATTCTTAAATATACTGAGGTTCTACACTGAAACATTGGTTATAGATGCAATGTTTGATTGACATCAGCTTCAGCTGTTGCTTTAAAAGTAGACAATCTTGAAAAAGAAACCTTGATGTTTTCTGTAACTGTATGAATGCGTCCATATGGATCTTCGTACATCTTTAAGGTAAATAATGAAAAAGCTTACTGAATGTGTTTGACTTTGTGTAAACATAATCAGTGTATTGTCACCTTTGTCACTACCACCACTTATTTCTTTGTTTTTAGGTTATTATGGTGATGGGTTAAATGCCATTGTTGTGTTTGCTGTTTGCTTCATGCCTGAGAGCAGCCAGCCTAACTATAGATACCTAATGGACAATCTATTTAAGTAAGTCATTATCTGCCTTTATGGGTTTCTGTTATTTTTAATATATTTGAGCACTACTAGGAATTACTTTCAGATTAAGGTTGTGGATATTAAAGTTTTCTTTTTTTGTCTCTCCAGGTATGTAATTGGCACTTTAGAGCTGTTAGTAGCAGAGAACTATATGATAGTTTACTTGAATGGTGCAACAACACGGAGAAAAATGCCAAGTTTAGGATGGCTTAGGAAATGTTACCAGCAAATTGACAGAAGGTGAGAAGCACTGCAATATTTTCTTAAAATATTCACATGCTCAGACATAGACATATTTAGGAAAAACTGCTGTTTAATGTGGTGTCTGCTCCCTTCTGGTTAAGATTTGATGAAGGAAATTGGTGCATTGAAAACCTCTTCCTATGCTAGACAATGTGCTACAAACATGCCTAGGTAGTGTTGTGTGGTGAATTTTTTTGGTTGGTTGGGGGTTTTGTGTACACTTTTGTTGTTGTTCTCAGGGTGTTTTTTTTAGTGAAAATAGTACTCTTAGAATACTGAGTATTGTTATAGAATTGTTACTGTTGTAGTATATCCTTAACACTTAATGTATTAACATAAGGCAATAAGGGGAGCCCTTTGTGAACCACTTCATCATTAGTTATGTAAAAAGATTCAAAGAAGCTTCTCCTTGGAATGTTATTTCCTTGTCAAATTGATACTGAATCTTTAGTTTTTGTTTTACAGTTGTGTAGTATTTTTTCTTCTGATGGAGGTCTAATAATGGGATGTCAGAACACTGTGTTTATATGACAGCTGTGCTTCTAAAAGCACAACTTATATATTCCAAAACCCCTGGTCATGCTTTTTGTTCTAGTAATTATTCATTGTTTAAATCCTTCAGATTAAAGAAAAATCTGAAATCGTTGATCATAGTTCATCCTTCCTGGTTCATCAGAACACTCCTGGCCATCACAAAACCTTTTATCAGGTAATACTCTGGAAGCTTTTTCATAAATAATTCTGATAACTGTTTAATCTAAACTTAAAAGACTGTTTTAATATTAACCTAGTGAAAAACATTTGGAGTTGTAACTACCCTGCATTTGTTCTTCCACAGCTCAAAATTCAGCCAAAAAATTAGGTATGTCTTCACCCTGGCAGAACTAGCTGAACTGATCCCCATGGAATACGTTGGCATCCCAGAATGCATAAAACAGTACGTTTTATTATTCCAACATCTTCTGCATTGATCATGGTTTAGGACTGGGAGATGTCGTAATCAGTGTTTGGTTTGAATGTAACACTTAGCACATAATGACTTCACTGAGATCACTGCTGTCTCTGGGAGGAGTGTCCATGTTTGACCTCATTTCTAAAGGCAGATTTGTATGGAGTAGCAAGGATAGCCAGAATGTTAATGTATAGTCATTTCCACGGAGCTTTGTGCAATTGCTTAGTTACGGTGTGTGAATTAAGCCTTCTAGAGAAGGTCTCATTCCAGTTCTTCTGCACCTTAGTGTGTATATGAAACTGGCTTGTGAGTGAGAAATTGTGGGCATGTTGACACTGAAGTTATTTATAATGTCTTCTAAAGCATTTTAATTAAAATGTGGAACAATTTAAGTGCTGAAATATCACTTGGATTGGTTTTCATTTAAAGAAAAGCAGCGATGGGAAAATGCTGAATCCTTACCCCCTGCCCTTCTAAACTACTTTGGTAAAGAAATAACACAGCATCAATGTAATTTTTTTCCCTTCCCATCCAGATACAAATACCCATTTTAACATCAGCACAGATCTGCTCACAAATAAGATGATGATCATTTTGTCAAAAGCATTTGTGAATGCAGTAATAGAGTAGAAACCATAAACTTGGGTCTTAAGAAAACCAGATGACAACAGTAATAATCCTGATGACAGCCTTTTAGAGGTGTAACACACAAACCCTGTGTTGTCTGCATTGTAACAGGTGAGCAGAAACAGGGGGAAGGTGGCCCAGTGTCACTGAGCACACACAGGAGTACATCCATGCTGGACAAAGCCTTGTGCCCCCTGCAGATAGCTGGTTATTTTAACAGACATGCAGCTGTTGTTTTCATGGCATGGGAGAGAAACACATCACAAAGCTGAGGCAGCCTTGTGCTGTCTTAAATTTTTTTTAACTGGGTTTTTATGGGTGTGTTATGAATATTCAGACTGTCATTTTGAGTTTTAACAGACTCATCTATGTATTGATGAACTTTTAACTGTTCTGCAAAGTCTGGACTTGGTTTACTTAAAATACTTAATTCTCAGATTTCTGTGGAGGATTATATCTGGTTTCAAACTGTTATGGATACAGACTTTAAATTTTAGTGATGAATGCTAACACTGTACAGGAGCTGTGCAGTGTATTGAATTCATTTGTTACGTCATAGTAACTAAATCTTAATGGTTTTTCTTTAATGCAAATAAATGTTGGAGGTACAGTGTATTTTTTTCTTAATTATATCAGTTTCAAAATGTGGTAAGTTTTTGCAAATTCTACTGACACTAATACTGGTGTGCAGCTTCTGTTGATTTTGGCCTTCATATGTTATATTTACTGAAATAAAACTTTTCCTCACCAAGGTATGAAGAAGAAAAGTTTAGAAAGAAACAGAAAAGGTATATCCATATTTTGATTAGGGTTGCATCTAGATAAGATAATTTGCATTGCAACTAACTCCCAGCTGATGGGCTTGCATAAAGGAATAAGCATTTGTAAATATAAACACGCACTAGTGCCCAGGTTTTCACTCATGACTATACTGTACTTGCAGGCAGTATGGAATCTCTAAGAACTCACCCTGGGTGTTCAGGCAGCTATTTGTGAATAGTTTCTATCACACTTTTATGTGAGATGCTCACTTTTAAGGGGGTACATGGGTTCTCAACTTGAAGTCTTTAAGAGGCAAAAGTAGTGCTTCTGTATGAACCCATTAAATCAAATGTCATTGTTTCTAACAGGAATTATGTCTGGAGATGATCTATTTAGGTGCTAAGCTGTAGCTATGCATTAGCAGAGATGCAACTCTGTAAGGAGTTCTAATATTAAATCTTGTGGTTTTGGTATTCACTACCTTTTTAGTTATTAACTTACATAGATGCAATCTAAATTAGTATTTTAGTGCTGTTTGTATTTGCAGTGCCTACGTTCCTTCCTAATAAATACTGGATTTTCACTTCGTTAATTTCCAGTCTCCTGCTAACTATTCAAGCTATTCCACAGCTGATGATTTTTTTTCAATGGATATGTTATTTTTTCACTCACTAACAAATATACTGAAAGACTTTGCTACTAACTGTTGTTTTTTTAAAATTACTTTTCCTTTGTGTGCCTAACTATTATGGAAGACATTGTCTAAATTGGGTAGAGGAACACTGAGATGGAAATAAAAGGAATTTAAATTATTTCTGGAAGCTCAGATGTAAACCTAGTGATGTGTTGAACATTCTTTAGGAAATTACTTAGGAATTACTCCAATTAAGTGATAATTTAAAAAATCTCCAGTAGCACAGTTTTTAGTGCCCCTGTTGATAACATCACCTATACTACCATCACTTCTATAAAAGTAGTATGTTCTTCAGTGAAAATTAGATACAGAGATCACAGGCAGAATTGGATACTAAGCCTTTAATCAGGTAGAAAGCAGCTCCTTTTTATGGGTTCATGGCTCAAAGCAGCTGTCACTGTTTCCATCATTTTGAAAACCTGGCTAGTTATAGTTTGAGAGACAGGACAGGTATGTTAGATTGTTAGAGGACAAACTTGGTCTTAGTCTCTCACTTTAGAACTGCTGTTGGTTTTAAACTTAATTTGCCTCCATGCACAACTTATTTGCCAGAAGATGTTATCAAGATTGTAGCTTGTTCTTACTATAAAGACGAGAAGTACATTTTGTGCAGGGCTTTGAATCATCCCCTGGTTTCTGCAAAGCAGTATTTTGTTTGCTGGTTCCAAGGCAGATATTAAAAAATAAGGTACAAAATCAAACCCACTTCTATCAGCATGATGGTGAATTTTTCCAGGGTAATTGCAAGAGTCTTAGAACATAATAGAAAAAGTATTGCAGTTAAAGAGCCTCTTCACTTTTGTTGATTCAACTAGTACTGTTACCCTCTTGGCTTAATTACTGTAACATTAAAGGTAATTCAGTCATCAGGGTGGTAGTGCTTGCCAGTATTGTCACATTACCTGTATTGTATTTCTGCTTGCATTTGTTGCTATGAGCACAGGCCATGTTTTCTTCTTCGGTGGTCAGACTTCATTTGCACTTCTAAATGCTTCCTCTCAAGTGCTCTAGTTACTTAAATGGTTTCCTAACAATTTAAATTAATTTTTAGGGGGTGGTAGTAAAATAGGTATTGAAAAGAACCCAAACATCATGACTACATTAAATAAAAACCTTAATTTAATATTTATTTACTAAAACCTTTTCCATGTAAAAGCTTCGTGTTTTTCTGTTAAGGTTAATAGTTTTTTCTTAATAATATCAGCTATCAAACTATGTTAACATAGTTTAATTTCACTGCTTTCTTTGCTAAGCAGAGTTGACCAAGAGCTGAATGGAAAGCAAGAGCAGAAAAGTGAACAGTAAGTTTGGAGTCCAAACAAGACTGAAGAATACGCAGATGGAACAAAGCCATTTGTGCTCCATTACAGTGCATTCTCTGTGTCTATGTATTGTATAATCTGTTGCAAAAGGTGCTTTGGACTAGCACCCAATGAACTGCTTACTGCTGTATTGGTTTGTCTTGACTTTAGTTGCTGTTTATGTAATCGTTTTATACTGCTAAATGGCAAAGAACCCTATGTTTTCAGAGGATGTTCTTGCAACTGTTTATCTAAATGATGCATGTTCTTCAGTAAAATATTTATATACCTAAATGTTAAAGGAAAGAGATAATATATATATTTTTATGACTGAGCAATATATTGTGTGTACCTGCTGAAGGAATTCATTTGCAGGTAGACAAGGCTATAAGTTACTTGTTATTGTATAAATCTGTTTTGCTGTAAATGGTCAAGTGCATTTCTTTGTTGTCATGAAAACTTGTTTGGATGTTAACAATCACATAACTTGGCTTTCACAAATACAGAGATCCTTATTTTTGTTCACTTAACCTTATAGAAGCTCACTCCTTTACCTCACTAGAGTGAGCTTCAACTTTGGTGTCTTTCAGTCCATCATTCAGGATGCAGAACTGCAGCTCTGTGGGTGGCAGTTGGCCATGAGGTTTAAGCCTAAGCCACAAAAGCTGAACTGACTGGTAAGATACCAGACCTTCTACAGTTGAAGTTGTGAATTTAGATTCTGCTTCAGTATGTCAAGACTGTCTCAGCTAGCAGTAGGAAATTAGCTCATTGCAGTTCTTCATGGATGAATCTTGATTGTTACTGATAGGAACTCTGTCATGCTCTCTGGTTCATGGTAGTACTTAGGAGCTACACAGGTATTCTAGCCACAATACCATTTTTTGGGGCAGAAATATGAGAAGTCTTACGCTACCTGTGTCATTCTTGTAGATGAAACATCCATTTCTAAAGCTATTAGGCACATGATACCAGCACTAATTGAACTTTTAAGATGTGTTTTAAAGGTTGGGGTGTTTTCATTCCCCGCAATGGTGGTAAATCCGTGTCTGTAAAAGGTTTTCTTGGACACACAACTAGCGTGTTTAGGTTTACTGGGATAACAGTAATGCACTGGTTGATACCTTGTAAAAGTTTGTAACATCTTTTGATAAACATTGCATTTTTCATGTAAGGGCAGGTGTATGCAAATAAATTCATTCAGGAGTTGAGCAATATAATGTTGTAGCAAGTATATTAAATCTTTGCTTTTGGTGTTTATTGTGCTCACAGTTTTGTTCCAATGCCAAAAAAGTAACACTTTTTAACTATATTTAATGTTACTCAGTTACCTTATCAGGAAAAAAAAGAAAGTTATGTTCAACCAGATTTCTACCTGAAACTGATAAACAGCAGTTGTGAGATATTCCATGGTCAAGACTTACCAAGTAACAATTAATCCACTGTCTCCAGTGATACCTGTATAGACTGAGAGTATGTGGATGTCAGGTGAGGGAAATCCGCTCACGTCTCTGGAAGTTTATTTAAATCTGCAGTTCAGATACTTTCATCTCAAGCTCTTAAGTCCTTTTGTTGCAGTAGTTTCTGTATCAAAGTTTCAAGGAGATTGACAGGCAGGGTGTGTTCACACAACAATACCAATGCCAGGTTACCTTGCATCCATTCCATCAGGTTTGAAACTTGCTCTGAAAGCAGAAGACAAATGCACTTTCTTTGGGGCTGTCTTATGTCTTGCTTCAATTTTGATGTTGACTCAAATTAATGTAAAGTTCAAGTCAGTACATGGAGCACTTGCAGCCTGTTTACTTCCGATACTTTCACAGTGTGGTCTGTACAACCATGCAAATCTGATTTTTACTGGGTTTGCATGTGTCCTAAGCTAAACAGGAAGCATTCTGATTATCTCATTTCCATTTTCTCCTAATTGATAAAAAGATTAGTCTCGATAAAATTATATTCTTAGTGGAGGGACTGTAATTCTCTATGTCCTGTGCCTTCCTGTGTGTATAGTGCAGCACAGAGTTCCTCTGTATATGCCACATTTACCAAATGATGGGATTGTTACTGTGTTTCCTGGTCACCAAGGATTCTGCAGTTTCCTGCTGCAGTAATATGATTTCTTTTGGAAATGTGTATGTGCTTATAAATGGTTTATTTCTCTAGTAGAAGTTGTTGTGAATGAGTATACAGCACAACAGTTGTTCTGTCTCTAAAGATTCGTAGCTTGAGAAAGAAGTGTACTAAAGAATTACTCCCCTCTGACTTCCTGCAGCTCATCATTTAGTGGTGAGGTGGGTGTTTACAAAAAGCAAAGTGGTCCCAAAGCTATGGATAATGTTTTGTCAAACTTAACTTTTTTGAAATCTATAATATAATGTAATATATTTTCATATTTAAAAACCTGAAAAGTTGGAATGTCATACTTTAATAAAAACTATTTCAAAACTTGAATCACTTTGTGATAAGATACAGTATTGTAGGGAATTCACCTTTCAATGGCACTTCCTTCTAAAACTAAGAGTAATTTTGCTAAAATTTGGTGAGCCCTGACAAGAAAAAATTTCATGAGCCACTGATTTACCTCTGATTTGGAGGTCTCATTAATTTATATATATTTATACATGTAGTTAATAAGTCATTACCTATCTCATTATTGCTGTGCACAACTGAAATAGAGACATTTGGGCCAGTGGCCTCTCGATGTGACATTTCCTAATGATTTCTGCAGGGTAAATCCAGAAGTGGCAAAGAGATTCTGGAGAAAATGTCATTAAAAACTGGTGTGAGCAGACTCTGGATTTGCTTGAATGTTCTTGATCTGTGTAATATGGCAGAGCCATGTTCTGTTGGAGGGTAGTGGGAAGGGATGTATAATGATTTAGTGCTGAAGCAGATTGAAGTCATTGAGGTTCTGGGATGTTGAAATGAAGAACTTTTATTCCAAAAAGCATCAAACTAGTTAGAATAACTAGTAACCTTGTTCATAACAACATAGTTTGGTGTATTTTTTTCCTTTAGTAAGCCAGTGAAAAACAGTCCCAGCTGCTGTGAGGAACATTGCACCTGTATCTGTTCCAGCAACTTTGTTGCATCATACCCTAAATTCTCTAATGACAGTTTAAAACTCTCAGCAGTTAATTGTGTCATACTTCAAGGTTAGATCACATGTGGTAGCAATGAAATATTTTATGAAATGGCTTCAAAATGTGTCATGGGGAGGAGAAAAGGTGTCCTTGGTGCCTGGTCACATCAGCTTCACTGATGCTGTCTGCTGAAAAATCTGTAGTCGACTGAAAAATATTGAACTACATTGTGAGCAGGCACTTTATTAACTAAATCTGTCACAAGGTATAAAGTTTCTTGGTTAAAAACGTCTTTCAGTGTCAAATTTTTGTCAGTGTATCCTACAGATTTATACAGTATTTAGTATCTAGAAAGATGGTTTAAATGCATGTCTTCTCAAAAGCTGTTGTCTTTGGAAATTATTTGAATTCTCAGGTCATTCCAGTCTCCCTCAAAAGCCTCATATGAGGAATGGAGAGGATAGAAATAACAGCTTGCATGTTTTTTGTAACCACAGAAGCCTTACAAATCTTGCAGTCAAAGTTATTACTCAGTCCTTGTGGATGGAGGTCATTCCCTAGAGGATTTGTTCCACTGACTGCTTGTCAGAGACACTTGAAACAAGTGCTTTAATTATACTTTTTAAGGACACCTGGATTGAGAGTAATACTCTGAAATGTAAGGAATATTTAAATATTCATATTCTGAAAGACATATCTTGCAGCTTTCCTAGCTTCAAAATTCTAAGTTGAACTACACTGTTTCTTTTATCACATCTAATTACCCATATTAAACTAACATGAAAAAAGGGCATTTGTGAAGAGGGTGCAGTCGTGTTAGTTTTTCATCATTCCCTTCGAGCATGAATGGGATCAGTGAAATTAAATCTATCCTTTGCTGAACAAGATTTTTTTTTTTCAGTTTTGCAGCTTGAACTGCCCAGATTACTCTGATCTACATGTTTTTTTTATATTAAAAATATAAAATAAAAATATAAAAACATGAAAGTATTAAAAATTATCTGAAGAGAAGTCATCGGAGTGTTTTCCAAAAGTCCTTATCTTACCATGTTCCTTACTCTAGCTTGCTCAACTGCTAGTTAATACTGGTAGCACGGAATTCCAGGTTAATAATTACAAATAAATATTCATAAAGGACAGATGTTTAGTTTACCAGTGGCTCTGCGGTTCTGCAATGTTTCTTAATAATGTAACAAAACCTTTTTAATTTAAAAAAAAAAGACCTGAGCAGTAAGGTGCTCTAATGGTTGAATGGTAGATTGAAGGGTTATGATAGAATGATTACGCTGTCAATTAGTGTCTGTAAGGTTTATTATCTTTGATAACGGGAAACATGCCGTGTTTAACAAAGTAAAGCTGCACTAATGCAAAAGCACAGGTTGCAGAGTCACAGACAATAGAACTGGCCTAACTGGGCTAGTAACACTCTTCGCAGATGTGACTGTTTTCCTTTGTCCCTTTAACAGAAAAGATGGAAGTAGAAGACTCTTAACCTACCTCTGAGTGTGCCCGCGGTTTGAGTGTACCCGCAGTGTGAGTGTGCCCGCGGTGTGTGCGAGAGTGCCCGCGGTGTGAGGGTGCCCGCGGTGTGTGCGAGGCTGCCCGCGGTGTGAGGGTGCCCGCGGTGTGAGGGTGCCCGCGGTGTGAGGGTGCCCGCGGTGTGAGGGTGCCCGCGGTGTGTGGGAGGCTGCCCGCGGTGTGAGGGTGCCCGCGGCGCGGGCGGGGCCCCCCTGGGCCGGGCCCTGCGGCCGTTCCGCTTCCGGGCCGCGGCGGGCGGGGCGGTGCCGCGCTTCCGGCCGCGCGCGGTGAGGAGCCATGGCGGCGCGGGCTGGGGAGCGCCGGGGCCGGGGCAGCTTCCCCGGGGCCGGGACCGGGGCCGGGGCGGGGGCCGGGGCCGGGGCCGGGGCTTGGCGGGGCCTTGCAGTGCCCGGCTCCCGCCGGAATAGCGCCGGCCGGGCCGGCTCCCGGAGCCGGGCCGGGCTGTCCGTCGTGCGGCCCCGCGGCCGGGAGCGCGCCCGAGTGTCGCGCGGTGTTGCGGGGAGGCCTCAGACCGTGCGTGCCCTGCCGTGCGTGTGCCCGACGGGTTCGGCTGCGGGGCGGAGGGGGTTTTATTGTTCCCTTTGTTTGTTTTCAATGAGAGCGAGGACAGCACGGGCGCGCAGCCGCGGATGAGCAGGACGTGTCCAGCCTTCCCGGTAAACCATGGCGTATCAGCTGTATAGGAACACCACGCTGGGGAACAGCCTTCAGGAGAGCCTGGATGAGCTCATACAGGTTGGGGGCCTGGGCGAGTAGCTTAATAAAGACAGCAATTTTTATCTAAATGGCTTTGTCGTTCCTGTATCAGGGTACTTACGGCCAAGGTTTGGGAAACTTACTGATTGAAAACGTAAGGGTTTGGTATTCCATTCGCTTGTGATGGTTTTTTCTTTACGTTCTGGGTAAAAGGAAGTGTTTCGTGTAAATGGCATAATCTCATGTGGCTCAGTAAATGAACAGCCAGGTAAGGTGGAACATTGCAGTCAATCTGTTGTTCTTCTGGTTATTTACAGCAAATATTTATTATAAAAGGTCTTTGTATAGTACAGAATTGAAGTACAAAAATGGAAATAAATACAGGAACATAATTTTTTGTAGATTGTTCTTCTAGAGATCTGCTTCATTGAATGAACTTTGCTTTAATGTTTTTAACTTATACTGCATGTTTGAGCTTACTTTGAAACAACTCAAAACTTTTATTTTTTTCTTCCAACTACTTTAGTCACAGCAAATCACTCCTCAGTTGGCCCTTCAGGTGCTACTTCAGTTTGATAAAGCTATAAATTCAGCACTGGCACAGCGAGTCAGGAACAGAGTCAATTTCAGGGTAAGGAAATGATATCTTAAAGTTTTACATAAGTGTTTGCATAAGTGTTGATGCACAATGTCATTAAAAGCTGTGTGATAAGCAAGAACTTTCAAGGGTTCATTTTGGCTCTACTGATGACTGTTCACGTGTATATTCTGTATGAAGCTGTAAGGCTTGTTACCTTGTTCTGCCAGGGATCTTTGGAATGAATGCAAAAAGCAGATGATGAAAACAGGGAAGAGGGAAATGCTTTTTTGATGGATAACATTGCCATCCTCAGTGTCTTGCAGATGAGGAGGGAGTCTTTTGCTTCTCGCAGCTGTCCCTAGCAAAAGTGAGATGAGGCCAGATTTTCAGCCACATGAGTAATGTGAAGAGAGACTAGAGAGTTTTAGATCTACCCTTTCACTGGATCATTTTGTAGCTATTTTCTGTAGGTATCATAGAAAAATAAGTTGGGGGGTGTTCCAAATCAGCCATCCTAATTGATGTTAGATAGCCAGCAAGTTAAATGTTAACTTGAATGTAATGTTAAGAAAAAAAACACAAAACCCAGATTTCTGTTAACTTTTGTCATAATATTTCTCTACAGTCTATGTAGAACACATTCATGATGTGGGTTCCTAAGAGACTAGATTTTTAAACAATATAGAGATGTTAAAAATAGCATAATTTTTCTTAAGTTGTTTGTATATATGACATGGTATAAAAAAAAGTTTAGTATGTGTTTAGTGGATAAATTTAAAAAATGTTACTTGGAGCTTAAGTTCTAAGTTCAAGAATGTAAATTTAAAATACGTAAAATTGCAGGTCAGAAGTTTTCCATATTGACATCCTCAGTAATACATCAAATAGCAGGGATACCCCTTTATGTTATATATTTGTCATGATTTTTTATTTAGGCTGCCAGCTGCCACTTTGTTTAAGCAATTGCAGAATTCACATCTTGTGATCACTGCTGTATCTGATTTTTATTATGACCCAGTATTTTAAGAAATGTTTTTTGCTACTGATCCTTTGTATACATTAGAAAAATTGTAAAACAACTTTGCCTACCTGAGGAGCCTCCCCTTGGATATCCTGTAATGTCACTCCATGGTCTTGAGAATTTCAGCCACTGGAGGGCATTTAAACTCCAGTTTTCCTCAGAATTGCTTGCTTGCCAGTTTGTATGCATTCAGGTCCACTGTTGGCTTGTAGCACATCTATTCAAGAAGGGACATAGTTCAGTAGATACTCATCGTGTTTTCTCTTGCTTTTGAGATGCGTCCTATAGCAAATGTCTCTTGTTTTTTTATAGGGGTCTCTGAACACATACAGGTTCTGTGACAATGTATGGACGTTTGTACTGAATGACGTGGAATTTAGGGAGGTCACCGAACTTGTGAAAGTGGATAAAGTGAAAATTGTAGCATGTGATGGCAAAAGTAAGTATGAAATATGATATAAATAGGCTGAGATGTGAGACTTGATAGTTTATAGAAAGCTTTGATCAAATGTCTTACTAAAGCCAGATTGAC